CCCATTCATACAACAAGTATGTCTGTTCCACTATGTTCATAGAATCATTATTTTTCATAACCAGAACTTGGAAGCAACCTAGATGTCCCTCAACCAAAGTGTGGATAGAGAAAATGTGGTACATTTACACAATGGAGTACTATTCAGCAGAAAAAAATCTATGGAATCCTGAGATTTGCAGGCAAATGGATGACACTAGAAGAAAGCATCCTGAGTGAAGTAACCCAGTCACACAAAGAGAAACATGGCATGTACTCTCTCATATATGGATGTTAGACATAGATCTGGGGAGTGCCAGCCTACAGTCCCATGGCCAAAGAGTCTGGGAAACAGAACCTTCATTCAGTGGCTGATGGAAGAAGAGGCAGACTCCTATGGCTAAGCACTGAGCTGAACTCAAGAAAGCCAGTTACAGAGAGGGAGGACTGATGACCAAAGGGATTAAGACTGGGTTGCTTTAACCCTCAGAAACAGCTGACCTGTCAAGGGTTAGCTCTTGAATCCCAGGCATCAGCCTGGGAATCCAGAATGGGACTGATCAAGGCCCCTGAATGTGGGGGTCTCTGAGGAGGCCTAGGTAATCTATTGACCCTTGAGCAGTAGATCAGTATTATCCCAGGTATACAAATGAACTTCGGACTCCCATCCAACAATGTGAGATGCACTCTCACGCGGAACTCTTGGTGGAGAGTCTAGGCCCTGCTCTGGATGAAATGACAGACTATGGACACCCCCTGGGGAAATGAGGGACTATTGGGGGGGCTGGTGGGAGGGCATGGGAAGAGGGGAGAGAAAGGGAGAGGGACCTGGAATTGACTTGTGAAGCAACCTTGTTTCTAATTTAAATTTAAATTTAAAAATAAATAAAAAATAAAAAATTTAAAAAATTGTAATGATGTTCTGAATTTATTTAAAATACCATCATCTCTTAATCATATAGCAATAAAGTACTTTCAAGTATGAAAAAATGTAACCCACAGAATGCAAAAAGATATTCACTAACCCCACATCTGACACAGGGTTGAATTCCAAAATTGACAAAGAACTCAAGAAGCAAGTCTCTAAAACATGAAAGGATCCAATTTAAAAAAGGGCTACAGGACTAAATAGATAATTCTCAACAGAGGAGTCTAATATGTCTGAGAGGCATTTGAGAAATTGCTCAACATTACTAGCTATCAGGCAAATACAAATCAAAACAACTCTGAGATACCATCTCACTCCTGTCAGAATGGCTAAAATCAAAAACACCAATGACAGTTTATACTGGAGAGAATGTGGAGAAAGGGGAACACTCCTACACTGCTGGTGGATGTGCCAACTAGTACAGCCACTGTGCAGAACAGTATGGAGATTCCTCAGAAAAATGGGTACAAGACCCAGCAATTCCACTCTTAGGCATATATTCAAAAGATGCACATTCATACAACAAGAACATCTGTTCCACTATGTTCATAGCAGCATTATTTGTAATATCCGGAACTTGGAAGCAACCTAGATGTCCCTCAACTGAAGAGTAGATAGAGAAAATGTGGTACATTTACACAATGGAGTGCTACTCAGCAGAAAAAAACGATGGAATCCTGAAATTTGCAGGTAAATGGATGGCACTAGACAAAATCATCCTGATTGAGGTAACCCAGTCACAAAAAGAGAAACATCATCTTTACTCCCTTATATATGGATTTTAGACATAGATCTGGGAAGTGCCAGCCTACAATCCTATGGCCAGAGAGTCTGGGAAACAAAACCTTCACTCAATGGCTGATGGAAGCAGAGGCAGAATCCTACAGCTAAACACTGAGCTGAACTCAAGGAATCCAGTGACAGAGAGGGAGGGCTGAGAAGCAAAGGGGTCAAGACTGGTGTGCTTTAACTCCCAGAAACAGTTGACATGACAAGGTGTAGCCTTTGAATCCCAGACTTATGGCTGGGAATCCAGCATGGGACTCATCAAGACCCCCTCAATATGGGTGTCAGTGAGGAGGCCTACGCAATCTATTGGGCCTTGGGTAGTAGATCAGTATTCATCCCTCACATTCAGATGGACTTTGGGTCCCATCCCACAGTGAGAGATGTACTCTCACCCTGGACTCTTGGGGGAGAGTCTAGGCCTTACCCTGGATGAAATACAAGACTATGGGCACCTCCATGGAGGGCCTCACCCTCCCTGGGAAGTGATGGGTACTGGTGGGGTTGGTGGGAGGGCTTGGGAATAGGGGAGGGAAAGGGCGAGGGACCTGGAATTGACATGTGAAGCAACGTTGTTTTTTATTTAAATTTAAATTCAAAAACACAAAAAGAATATTGCAGATAATAAAGCCTGTGCCACTCCTGCTGAATGCTCTTTTCTTGTCAGCTTTATGCTTATTCTCATATTCCTCTAGATTGCAATGCTCCAACCCTGCTGATAGAAGTCAGAAGACACCTCTTCCATTCCAAAAGTATGGGAAACCTCTGGTTCTTGTCACACAATTTATCATGGTATTTTGGAGTCATGTCACTATTCCTTGAGAATCAAACTTAAGACACCCAATCCAACAAATGGTAACAAAGATGTTCAATCCTTAGTTACAAAGATGAGCAAAATACTATTGTCTATGTCAGAATTTCTCCTGCATTTCAAAATGCACTTATGTGGCAGATGTAGCATTTCCCAATAGAAAAACTCCATTAATCTTTATAGCAAAAACATGGAATTGTCCTGCACTTAAACAGGGATCAGGGCAGAAGTGTTTGGCTAATTTTCTTTGTGACTAAACATTAACAACAGCAGCAGTTATTTAAGAGACACAATTCTCAGAACTTTGGAATGGTGTTAAACTTGTTGAGGATACAGAGGAAACTGCTTGTTCTGAATAGCTCACCATTATAATGAACTCAAAATGTACAAGACCTCAAAATATTTTTGATTGCTTACTTGAACACAAATCTTCACACATACTAAATTTATAATAAAAGCACCAAGAAACAAGACTAGTAGACTGAAACACTTGTATAGAGAAACCACATGAAATGGGGAAATACTGCTCTGGTTTGTTAGCAAATAGAACAGTTTAGTCTTGGATCATGGAAGTGGCTCCCTCAGGGAACTATTCCATCAAAGGGGCTAAATGACAGAAGATATGACTTTTTACAATCTGAATGAAACCAGGTTTCTAAAATTCTCCTGAAGGTTGAGCGCACACTGGATTCATGAAGGAAAATGAGGGTTTGAATGAACTGCACTGTTCCATATCCTTGGGTTTATTTATTAAAAATCAACTTTTGCTACATGCTTACCAATGGACGTGTGCAAATAAAGTGCTGGCAGTGAAATCTACCATGCTTTAGTTGCAAAAATCCATTCGATGGTAGCAGTTTGATGGTGAAATATACTCACATGCTCAAGTGATTTGTATCTTAGCAGAGTTACTATTTTTGGTAGTCATTGAAACTTTTGGACATGTGTGCTTGCTGGGTGTGATGTTGATGTTTAGGCACTTTTGGTGTACATCTATTCTGAGTTTCTCAAGAGGCCACTGATTCTGATTCTGTTAAAATATGAAGAGGAAGAGTTATATGTTGTTGATAGTATGGACCAAGTTGTATTCTGCTGCTATGCTTTCTTAGCCAAGAAAAGACTTCTGAAGCAGAGCAAATCATTTCCAGATTATGTTGCTACTACAATTAAGTTTTTAACCTTAAAGAGGAAAGTGACTACCATGAATTCCCAAATATACTAAGTTATCATGGTTAATTTTTAGTTGCTGGAGGAACCAACGAGTTTGACCTAGGAAGAAAGTTTCAGTTGAAAATTTGTCTACCTTGGTTTGATTCATGGACATGCCTGTGGGAAGTTGCCTTGTAGGCTAAGTGATGAAGAGAACCCAAGACCTAGTGGGTGGTATGTTCGCCCAGTTTGGGAAAATAGCTGTGCTATATTTTAGAGATAGCTGAGTACTAAGCAAACAGACTGCATGAACTCATTCAGTTCTCCCTCTCTTGATGATAGATGATGTGTGCAGAGCTGTCCCAAGACCTGTGCTTTTCCAGTAATATACAGCAACATATCAGTGTAAATCAAATAAACATCTTAACCCATTACCTATTTTTGCAAACACTTGCCATGGTTCCGTAAAATAAAGCTATGTGTTCTAATACTTCTTTATATAAATCAACATTTTATTTCTCACCTATGAGAAACCATTTTGGAGAGTTCCATTTAATATAATTTAAACACATTCATCCCATTCCCTCAACTGCTTTCCCAATGCACCCTCTTCTGTACCCATTCATTTTCATTCCTCATTGATATAACCATCATGTCAAATCTCTGGCATCACTATAAGATCAGGGTGAAGCCTGTATTAGCCAGGTAAAATGGATGACTTACAAAGAAACAGTGTCTCTTGGGCACAACCGAGTTGATGCTCATATGACATCATAGTCACTGTGAGAGCATTAACATGACCTAGGGAAGCTCATGTCACACAGAATTTCACTATGCAAACAGGAATTTCACACCAAGTTCTGCTATTATCTGAGGTCTTAGTGACAGTTGATAGCTGCTGGGAGGGAACAGTCATTTTCTTTAAAGGTATAGACAAGGTGAACGGAACAAGTTCCAGTGGATGGTCATATACCCAAGAGCATATATGGACAGCATAAATTGGACTCAAGGGGCTAAAAAGCAAAAAAACCAATAACCAAGTATTGATATTTAAATGAATACCAATGAAGTAATTTTAAGGAATAATTGAACTTCTAAACATGGAAAATTGGCCTTATACATGAAAATGTTATAGCACACAGTTTCCAAATACTTGGGAATTAATTTTCAAAATCTTTACCTTTGTGTTTTCTTCAGTATCTCCGCCAAATTTAAGAAGCCTGCCGACAATAGGTTGGCTGTCCACATACACTGCCTGGTGTATCGCTGACTCTCCAACAGAGTCTCTAAGATTTGGATCAAATCCTTGATCAAGAAGGACAAAGCCAATTTCTCTCTCTATGGTCTGTACAGCCTGTGGATATTGTCACTAGGAAAATATTGTGGAATCAAGAATTCAAAATGAGCTTCCCCCAGCTTTTACTGTGATCTCTATTTAAGTGATGATAATTTCACTTTCATCCTAGCCAACTTAATTAATGAAATTGAGTCTGTGAACTACCTTCATGAGCGGTGTGGCCTTCTTCTTATCAAGGGCATTTGTCTCACTGTCCATATGTAACAGGAAATAAACCAGATCCAGATGTCCATAGAAGAAGGTGAAGTGGAGATCAGTTCTGTGGGAATGAGAATCATTTTTATGAAAATTGTAGGGTACTATGTCAACATACAGAGTCACTCCTGTATTTAGAAATAGTGTTTAACATTTTGAACTACACTGATCCATAAATAAATAATGAACTGCATTCTATAAACACATTTGTTGTTCTTATAATTTGCTATATTTGAACAATTTACTGTATAGAACATTTGTGACAGTGTGAATAATGCCCATAACTGTTGCATTCTAGATAAGTGCTCTATCACTGAGCTATGTAGTCAAGAACAACCTATTGGAACAGAAAGAACATGACTAATGGCTTGAACTGCTATTGATTTTTCATCTTGTCTGGACTCCATTATCAACTAACTATTTCTCAGCCGTTATGTGTTATGGTTTCTTGTCCATAAAATGGGTGTCAAAGTGAATACTTCTGTCCAATTATGATGCATCAATTACAACACTTTCCAAATATTCAGATATGACAGACTTTCATGATCCCCGATGGAAGTCTTCACCCTCTCTGGAGAGTGGATTTGTGGTGGGATGCGGGTGTCAGTGTGTGGCATGGGAGGATGGGAGTGAGAGGTAACTGGGATTAATATGTAAAATAAGATTGTTTTTAAATAAAACAAAAATCATGAAATGGAAAAAATATATTTATGAAAGTACTATTCACAAGAACTGAAAAGTATCAACAACAAAATCTAAACTTCAAGTCAAAGGACACAAGTGTAGTATTTCAATTCAAATAAGTATACTTCATATTTAACAATAGGTAAGTTCATAGAAAATAAATGAGTTAGATGTTTTCTATGCCTAATGTCCACATCTAATATGAATTCCACAAGGGAAATTTGAACACTGTGGACCACCTCAAGTTAAGCGAAAATCAGAAAAACAAGACACGCTGTTGAATTATAAATCATGAAATTCCCAGAAAACTTTCTTCCCCCCATCAGAAGTAAGAATAAGCATCAGAAGTAATGTTCACGGAGCTTGGAGTTTGTCAGCACAGTGTGTTATAAAAATGGTGGCTGATCAGGGCAGTGCAAATAAGCCTTCAGAAAAAGGATGAAGCCAGGAGCAAAGAAACATCTATAGTCAATGTTCCTAAAGAAGATGCTCCAAAGGGGAATTATAGGGCGACATTAAACCTGCAGGACCTTTTGCTCCAGAAGAAAATCTGAACACCGGACATGTGCGTGATCACAGGCAGCAAAGAGACTGTAGTACAGAAAGCATAGCTGGGCTCGACTCACCCCTGTTGTCCTCAATTGAGCTAGGAAAGTTAAGATTCTCCCATCACCCAATTTCCTCAAGGACCATCATCCCTAGCTGTCCAGTGTTCTTACCTTTTCCCTGTGTCCTTGTCTTTGACATTAAAATATCTTCTTGTCAGCAGGTGCAGTGCCTCTTTCAGTTTCCCAGCACACACCACCTCATGGAAGGGATTTTCTGGGTCATATGACTGGCAGTACCTGTCCTCATTTGCACCGCCACACCAGAAAAATTTCCTCTGCCTTTCACTGCTTGGGCTGTCACAAAACCCCAAGGGGTTTCTTGGCTCTTTCTTAAAGCATAAGAGCTTCTTCAGGGTGGAGAACATCTCTATGATCACCTTTCTGCAACTGAAGTGTGTACAATCTTACCGTATGGTGAGCTTTCAACATACACTGTCAAAAACCAGAGCCAACCTCCACTACTCCCACACGGGAGAGCCTCTGGCGTGACCAGTATAACAGAAACAGTTGTGGAACAGCCGTTGCTAAGCAACACTGGTAAACACCAGCATGCTTGTTCTTCCTCCGGCATAACAGACAGTTCATGGAAAAATGGTGCTCACTGCGCATGTGCAGTTCGAGTGTGGTGGTCTTCCTGGGCTTTAGTTTGTGCACATCCTGCAAGGTCTCCATCCATTCCTCACAGCTAATGGATTCCTGTTTATCCCCACAATAATCCTGCTAAGCGCTACTTTTGGGGGGCATGGATGTAATTATTCATTCTATAATTTTTTCTTGGGGTTGTTGTGGTTTGACTTTGCTATTTTTGTTTTCATTTCTGCTAAGAGGTCATATTTGGGCTTTTCTTTCTAGGGATATGTTAATTTTTTTCTTGAAGCTTCTCTCTGGTGATTTTCATTCTGTGTTCTTGGGATTTCCCATGTAGTAAAAAACTAAATTATGATTTTTCTCAGTCCAGGTTTGATGGCACACAACTTTAATCCCAGCACTTGGGAGGAGGTAGCCATGTATAGATTTTTATGAGTCTGTAGTCATTCTGGTCTAGTGAGCCAGAGCTGCAGTGTGGCTTAAAATTGAAATTGTGTTTAATTTAACATGATTGCAATATGTGGAGAAGTTATCATTCGTGCATGGTAGGTGCATTCTAAATATATTCTGTGCAGCCAGGTCCAGATATTTATATTTGGTATCTGAGGTGTTTAATGAGCATGACCCTGATACGTTCAGATATTTAAACACTTGTTCCTAGGTGGTGATGCTATTTGGGCAGCTAGTGGAACATCTGGGAGACGGAGCCTTGATACATGACATGTGTCCCTGAATGCAGGCCTTGAATGTTCATAGTCTCTACCCAATGTGTTTGCACTCTCCTCTTGCATGTGGGTGAGAAGACGTCTCTAAGCTTCCTCATCCTGCCACAATGCTTACCATTTGTTTCTTTGTTTTCTATGTTTCTATGTTTTCTATGTTGCCTCTGGAACTGGAAGTCCAAACACACTCTTCTTTTTCTAAGATGCTTCTGGTCCTTACGTATTATCACAGAAACAGAAAAGTAATGAATACAATCCCTGGATAGCAACATCCAGATATCCCGGAAAAATGTTGTCACCACTTTGAACATATTAGTGTCTGAATATGACAATACACCCACCTTGATTTCCAGCCCTTGTGTTCTTTTGTTTGATTCTCTCAACTGCTGATTTTTCTCCAGAATTTCTATACTTACTGTACAGATGTTTCCATGTAAAGACTGCAGCAGTTTTTCCATTCTTTTGTCTGAATTTCATATCCACTTACTGTGTTCTCTTTATCATATATTTGGTTGTATATTTAGGTTCTCATTGATGTAATGGGTGTTTCTAACTATTTTAAATTTTATAGTTATTTTTACAAAATTTAAATTTATCACTTTGTGTGTGTGTGTGTGCTTCTATATATTATGTAAGTGCAGGGGATTGATGTGAGTAGAATTAGGTGTTATGTTTCCTGGAGTTGGGATACCACCTCATTCTAGGAATGCCTCATTTAGTGGATTTGATGACCATTAGTGTCATGCCAGAATTGTCATTGAAGATCCTTCCTGCAATCATCTTAGGGTAGATTCCTTCCTGTTTATGATGAAACCTCTGTTCCTCAAGGAGTGGGTTGTGCCCCAACTGTAAATTTAATTATAAATGGTTCTGTACTTCCTGTCCAGGAATGGAAATCATGCCTTTGTTTTCAAAGGCTAATAAGCTTCTTTCAACCCTACCTTTGTTTCAAAGGGGTTGTTACTGTTAACTTGTTAGGGCAGACTGTCCTTATGCCCACCAGGCAACAATGTCTTTGTTCCTGGGTGTCTTTTGGACAAACTACTGATGCTTATGGTCTGCTCCTACTCCTGCATATTTTACGTAACAAATCCCTCATTGGGAAAAACCCAACCCCTGAGATTGAGAAAGACCTTATCTTCTTCACATCCAATGCTATTCTACGAAACACTGTCTTAGGGGGAGGCAGCCTCTGTACATGTATAAGAAAGCTTGCTTTAATTAATTTCCCATGATTATTAGGACCAGTGGTCTCTCTCTTCCCATCTTTCAAATTGACAGACTCCATATGGGGCCATGAGGGCAAGAATGAACTGTTCATGCCATAGGGTGGAATTTATGCATGAGATTAAAAAAATGGATATTCATTTACCAATGCTTAATGGAACATGGCAACAGCCAAAGACCAAATCCTCCAACAGAAGAGACCAATACTAAACTCACAATAGCACACCATTTCAGGGTAATCCCAGTGACTAGGTCTCAGTACAAATACCATGGACCACTTATGTCTTGAGAAAGTCAACACTGTAGTATCCCTTATTGGAATATAGATTCTGATTGTGAGTATTGATTTGGAATTCCTATGTATAAATCTTCAACTAAAACTGTGACACATTTCCTACAGGTTGATGCCTTATCTGTCATTACGGTATTCTAGACATTCAGAGTCAAGGAATTGTAGTGGTTGATGGCATGCTCATGAAATTCATATGTATTTCCACTGTTCCCCACTATCCAAGCACAGTTGAGTTACTAGAACAGTAGATTGTCCCCAACACAGCCATAGTGGTTACCATGGAGAAGCCCAGGTTGCCTGTATAGGTAATAGGTAAATCTCTGTACTTTTAGCTGGTAGGGTAACCATTATATTTATACTTCCTTATCAGTTTTACTCTTCTTGGGTCCCTGTGATGGAGGTGATGGCAGACAGCTTAGCAGCAGTAAGCCAACCTCATCCAGCTCCTCCCTCACTTGAAGGCTGAAGCTTTCTAGTCAGCTATTTCATATGCAAAAATCAAGCCTTGTTTTCTTAGAGCTACTAGGTCTCCTGCTGAGTAATGCAAACTCACTCACAGGATTTCCCTTCTGCCAGACTTCCTGCTGAGAAAGGCAGACTCACTAACAGGTTGAAAAGTTCAAACTGCTTTTTACTGTTCCATTATTTAAAGAACTTGATTTGCAAAGACTGATCTCAGTAACCAATCACCTACGTGGCATGGAAAATGATGGGATTTGTGTAGATGAGATGGAAAAAAGTTTGAATTCTAGATAAGTTGCAGACCTCTGAGGATGTTGTGTAAGGTAAGAGAAAAAAGAGAGTTAAAGGTCACACATGATGTTAATCAATACTCAGGGTTCCCAGATGCTGCCACATGCTTGTCATCTGAACTGATTATTAAAAAGGACAGTTGGACAATCACTGCTGGTCAGTAGGCGCTGCACAATTAGGGTGATTAAGAAGGGAGCACAAGGATGATACCAACTGACTAAATAAGCAATAGTGGAGAGGCTACATTAAATGCCCTTCCCTGATAATGAGTACCTTATATGCGATACTAGAACCTTCATCCAGTCACTGATGGGAGCAGAGGCAGACACCCACAGCTAAACACTGAACTGAACTTCTGGAATCCAGTGACTGGGAGGAAAGAGTGATGATCAAAGGGGTCAAACGAGGCTGGTAAAACCCACAGAAACAGCTGACCTGAACAAGTTGGGAGCGAGCTCTTGTACCCCAGACTGATGGCTGAGAGTCCAGCATGAGACTTGTCCAGACCCCCTGAATGTGGGTGTCAGCTAGGAGGCCTCAGCAATCTATGGGGTCTTGGGTAGTGGATCAGCGTTTATGCCCGTCATACAAATGGACTTTGGGAACCCATCCCACATTGAGTGATGCTCTTTTAGCCTGGACACATAGGGGAGGGCCTAGGACCTGCCCTGGATGAATTGAGAGTCTCTGGAGATCCTTCATGGAGGACCTCACCCTTCTTGGTGAGCAGAGTGGGGATTGGGTGTGGGGCTGTGTGGATGGTGGGGAAGAACGGAATGAAGGGAGGGAGAGGGATCTTGGGTTGACATGTGAAGGTAGATTACTTCTAATTTATATTAAATTTTTTAAAGAAGAAGGGAGCAGTATCACTGGGTGAATTCTTCTGGGAAGTGTTTTCTCAGAGTTGGCACACAAAAGCTGTGTTTCAGAGACAGGCCTTACCCTCCCTTGGGATTGATGTGGGAATTGGGCGGGGGACTGGAGGGGCTAGTGGAGGGTCAAGGGATGTGGGGTGGGAAAAAGAGCTGGGATTGACATGTGAAGCATGCATGTTTCTAATTTAAATAAAAATACACATTGATAAAAATAAAGTTTACAAATAAAAAAAGAATTTGTTAAGGAAAAATTTCAAAAAGAAGAAGGGAGCTGTATCACTGGATGAAGTCTTCTGGGAAGTGTTTTCACAGAGTTGGCACACAGAAGCTGTGTTCCAGAGACATTCAAAGTCATGAATTTTCCTGGCAGCTGAAATGAGTAGTGTCAGGTAGTAATCGTTTTGAAAGCATTAAGGGGTTATGGAAGTAGCTGAGGATTGGCACTGTGTGGTAGGGCTGTGGTCAACAAAGAGAGTGCTGTAGAGCCAATTGGTGAATGTGTAATCGAGTTGCAGCAAGAAACCCCAGCAATTTGGACATGCCACTACCATAGGATGAACCACAAGAACTGCAGCAGCCATGGAGCAGGTTCTACCTGAGCTTAGGACAGTCTTTGCAGCCTGCAGTGACTGGAGCTAGGGAAGTGAGGGACTCAGGACAGAGGAACTGGCCTGAAAGCAGACCAGAGGATCTTGTTTGGAAGCTAGACATTGTGCCCTGCAGTTATTTAACAGTTGCAGTTTGATGTGGCTTTTATTTGATTGTGACTGTGCCCCAGTTCTTCCCTGTTAGGATGAGAAAGAATTTCACTTAATTTTGATTTGATGGAAGCCAGCAGCTGAGAGAATTTGTGTTCTAAAATGATGTATATAATTTTTTAAAGAAACTGTACTAATAAATATTTGAATTTGTAAGACTATGGGCCTTTCTATGTTGTAAAAAGTTTTGTATTGTGAAGTTGATATTTATGTGTTATCTTTGGGATGTGTTAAGGGCAGCTTTTTCTTTTGCTAG